AAGGAGTGATCCGGGCTACCGAACAAAAACGTCAATTTCGTAAGGAATACAACAGCAATGACGGTGATGGAATTGGAGCTGTGCTTCGCGGATCCGTCTGCAGAATGCGGATAAAGCAAATTTCTGCACATGGAGTTGACGAAATCAGAAAGTCAAATATTTGATCGAAAATGTCAAGGTACACCAGATCACTGGCCTCAGCGACTCTAACTTGAGGCATATGAAGTAAATTACTAATGGACAAACAAGCGAAAGAAGCTGAATAGTATGACTGTGAGGAACACAACAGAATCGGACGCATTAGATCCGCTTACATATATTTTGAGATGTCACGTACCACAACTTAACTCATATATGCATGTTTATGGAACGGTTTTCCCGTGGAAAGCAAAATAATATAATACACGAGAGTTTGACTCATCGAGCGTCTACACTAGCAAAGCACATATTTCTTTTTAGCACAACGATTACACTGATCTACCCATTTACTAGTCAGTACACTCAGACAAGCCAACACTCTGTCTTTTGATCTTTACGCGGCATTCTCATAAACAAGGAAAAAAAGTAAAGGTAACTCGATGGATGGTTGGTTTCAGCAAAGCGCACGATCCGCTTAGTTAAATATCATTTATCGATGCTAAACGAATGATTTTTCATCCATGAAAATGTCATCTCTATCGATTGATATAATCATAGTGGGTATGTGTGAGGCATGTTAGTCAAGATAGACTGGTGCCAGCCAGAGTGCACTGGTGAGGGATAGAAGGGAATTTTCGGAGCACACGCTATGTCACAACGCAAGGGGTTTTCGAAATTGATCAGTTTCGTAAGGAATAACCGACTACTGTAGACTTTCTCAACAGTAAACAATCACCAAAAAACAGCAACAGTAAACGTACGGAAGATTACAAAAATTAGTATGAGTTGCAGTATGCATGCACTCTACCTGTGAAATTCCGGGTTCGATCCCTATTTGAGTCGATGGAGTTGCATTCCTGATGAAGCCCAACCAGGTGGAAACAGCAGTCCAATGTTTCCTAGCTTCATGTGTGCGACGAATTCATCATGTCGTTGCTTTATTTATAGCCTATTTATGCACCTTCACGACGGATATATATATCCTACATCCTATCAGCGCAGCATGCAGCACCTCGTGAAGGTTGAGCCTAGAAAACTGAACTAACCGGGCAATATTAAATCATATTGCCCAGGTCTTCAATCGTCTAAGGCACTGAGATCGTGACAGAATCTTTGATCCCAACACCTGGTGCAATAACCTATTACACAGCGCAGACGTGTTTAGAGCTAAAACGGAATCGTAAAAGGAACAAACACGAGACGAGTTCTTCAGGGCTGTTTACATATGGAGTTTGGTAAATATTACTCTAATCCATACATTTCTGAGTTCAGTCTGTGTATCACACAATAACACAATAAACATCATAGAAAGAAAATGATCCGTAATTTACTGACAGGTTGTCCAGTCTAAATCGGCAGAGTTTTCGTGGGGAATTCACCACCATAGCATTCGGCTAACTAAAGCCTAACCAGCAAGATCGCTGCTGGCGGTGTGAAACCGTCAATTCGTTGAGGTCGGTGTCTAGTTCACTGGATCACAAACCCTTCGAAAAGAGTCACCCGTCCAATTTGCTCACAGCACGTCAGTACCCAATCGAGCTGGTATCCCCTGCAACGGGCAGAAAGATATGTCTGCGGGAGAGGGAGAAGGTAGACACATGCTCCTTCTTGGTTTATAATCAGAAATTTAAACCAACTCCTCTGCCGGTTGTTCACCGACCCAATCATGTTAGTTTTTTGTCCTCTCACTTTGGTGGAGAAAACACCCTCACCAAGTTCAGTTCAGTTCAGTTTGCACAACCTTCACCACAGATCACGCTGGTACTGGTCATCGATTGTGAGCAAACTTTAAACGTACGCACAAGTTGACTGTTTTGTTTTCCCCGCTTCTGTATCCATATTTTTCGTTAACCCATGGTTATTTTTGGCACCGTATCTGTAAAGATGGGTGTCAAATATATGTGCATATATATCACCTAAAGGAGTTGGCTCAAAGTCCTGATTCCAAACTGATAGGCAAAAGATCATTTTTCCTATAAAAGTGACTATTTCCCCTTTGTTTTCCCTATGTTCCCAATTATTTTTATGAAATCTGAATTTCCAAATTTTTGCTTCGGAAAAATCCCAGTCCACACCACTAACCATAGTTGATTCTGATTGGTTTATTCTTTCTCAACTCCGTACTTTCGGGCCAATTTTCAAGGTCATCGCTGGCCGGTCGCGAAAATGCATACAAACAGATGAGTTGTCCACAGCAATGGGCTTTTGGGTCGAACCAAATACACAANGGGTAATGCATTCGAGCGTGTTTGAGCTGTACTCACTGGGTCACTGGGTCGTTGCGGTTCCTGTTCGTGGTCAGTTCTACCGTTCATCCCTTTTTGAGTCACGGTCCAAACTAGTTCGGTCGTGTCATTATCCGAACATTACAACATGAACCAACGAGAAATAGGCGGCTTAACCCCCTCCACATACACACCATGGTCGTGGCAGTGGATACCGGCTCCATTGGGCACTGAGGTCATCATCATCATCGCACAGCGAAAGAAAGTGAAGCGAACCTCGCTGACCGCTGGCAAGCTTAGAAGCTAAATAAATTAAGTGATAAAGTACAAGATGGAGATGGGTTAAGCCTAATCGGAGGGCGGAAAAGAAAGTGAACCTCTACGGTCAACGCACAGTGCAAAACCTAGTTATGCATACATACCTTTTCAAGCATCCTGACCTGCTAAGAAATGACAAGAACGCCACTGCTGTCGCTTAGTCGCCATATCCTTCAGTGTTTCCAATTGGAGTCTGTTGGACCCCAACCTGGAATGCGGGAGACACCTGTTCTACCTAATCGCTTGGTGCATTTCTTCATGCCTCGCTTCCACGTCATCTGTTGACCTCTACATGTTTTTTTCAACCTGGAGCCGCAACTGCGAATAAAGCGCGGTGCGGTGAACGATAGCCGGGCATGAGCAATACATGTCCTAACCAGTGAAGCCGACTAATCTGAATTCGATGGGACAACAATTTCTCCACATACGTGACGGCTTAAATAGGAGTTGCTTACACGCCCGCTCCATCCAACTCGCGTCAAACTACGTAAACATTGACATTCGAAAACTCGTAGACGACAAATATTTTTCATGCGCAAATTGAGGGTCTCACAATCATAAAGCAGAACTGAAGGCACACTGGCGCAGTATACATGATCTTTCAGTTTCCACGAAACATCGCATCTGCATCAAAGGTGTTTCAGTTCTGTGCAAGCTGCTTGTGCCTTGGAAAGGCGGGCGGTTACTTCATTACATATGCTACCGTCTTTTGTCAGCTATCTAAGTAGGAAAAAACATCCCGCTATGTGTAATTATTGACTATGAAGCATCGGCGCCGGGATAGAGGACACCCAATCCTGTAGAATCACTTTGCCTTTGAAGGTGCAAAGCGCATGCTAAATGGAGTTACAGAAATCGAAAGTCTGTCAAAAGCGTTTTGCACTTCAAACAGACAAACAATATGATCAGCGTACCACAAATCGCACAAGCTTTTCTCCAGTTGCCTATTCAACACCAACATTTTGGAGACCACTTAGTGTGTTCCCCAGTATTTCGTTGATGGCGAAATTGAATTGAAATGGTGAAACAGGGAAACCTTGACGAACACCGCTCCCGGTCCGTAAATTTCGTCAGTTTTGTATTCGACAAGTAATTACTTCCAAATTCGTGTACCAGTGTGTTTTCCCTCTTTTACTTTGTCGTTCACTAGTTGTTTTTTCCAATATCCTAAAGAATGGTGTTAAACTCCTTCGACGTAGACTGACTGTTGTTGGCCGCGTCTTCTCAATCCCGCTGGTAACTTACCTGTGCGAACGTCATTTTAATACATGTGAAAAGTTTGCACATATTTTTCTTATCGACCCCACACATCCGCTACATACCGATTTACCTTCCTGTTGTTCCCATCCATCAACCAGATCCTGATATCATTGTACTCCCTCTCGAATGAACATATATCGTGACTCTAATGTACCTTCTTTAGCATGAATTCTAGCTAACAAAGAACAGGTTTCCACAGACTGTTAAAAGTTTTGACATTAACTTTTTTCTCCCTCTCTCCAATTTGCAAACTTTCAACTGAGATGTAGACTTTAGACCTAGAGAAGCTATAATTACAATTGCAATTTTTTGGGGCATGTTTTGTGTATGTCATCAAATAGATTGTCACGACGTGCGTTGTTTGCCAAGGTAGGTGATGGGTGGGAAAAAAGTTAAGAGTGATCAAACTAAAACCTAGCATGAAGGTATGAGAATCCTGACCAGAAGAGCTGTGCACATGGATCGCTTTTTGGCCTCCTGGATGGGGACACGGAGATCATGGTAACCGGTGACTAGAGACACTGCATGATATAGCTGAGCGACACAAATAGTGGTACTCCTCCATCCACTCATTATCCTAGCTACTTTAATCTATTTTATTTACTTTCAACTTTACACTGCTCTCATTATACTATTTTTTATTCTACGCCTTCACACAGATGGGCAGTCCTGATACAACAACCAAAAGCGGCACACGGTTAATGGCTAATGGATGTTCAAACTGAAACTGAAACTATTAGTGACATTATTGAAAATGACTTAGAACAAAAATTACGAACATATTTAAGGCTGATTAATGCATAATACTTCAAGCAATTTCTATTGGAAAAACATGCACTTCCTTCTGCTCTTTATCCGAGCAGGCAGCCTAACGACAGCAACCAAAACCGCCGCATGAAAAGGCATAGCCAACAGTCGTGAAAACTGCACTGGAGTGACGACACATCAATCCTCCATAAAAGCCGTATGATCAAATCGGGGATTGTTAACTTTCACTGGCTAAGGAATAAGACGTGCGCATATCAACCAGAAGGCTCGCTTTACACGAAACTAACTTACCAGTCTGAGATGGACTTGTATACAACCAATCGTAAAGACAGAGGGCGTTCCCCGCAAGACGAACTGTGACAGCCTTCTCAAACTCCGGGGCGGCCAGATGATGCTGACGCGAAATACTATTGGCTGCTCGATAATTGGGTACACAAGACAAAGCACACTCGGTTAGAACACGAGAATGCGCATGCTCCTGATGTTTCTGTCTCTGATGGTTATAAGAATCATTGAATACTGTTGAAGCGTTTGCGTCGTTCGACTGAGACCCATCTTTTCCAGCAGTGGGAGGCAGCTTACTTGACTGAATAGGAAGAGCCAAACGCAATTTCACTAGCGCTTGGTTCTCCTTTTGACGACGAAGTTTTGCAGCAACACGAGATTTTTCACGTCTCAGGGTGGCCTGATCTGGGGTAAGATCCATTTCTTCATCGCGAGGCTGCTCATATTGGTTGGCATATAGTTCACATCCATTGCAGATGTGCGTTCCCGTGAGTACTTTTGAATCACTGAGAGGGATCGGGACGACTTCATCTGGTACTGGGGAAGAATTCGGTGATCGGGGTCTGAAGAAGAGAAAAATCGTCAAAAAAGTGTATTTCGATGAGACTAAGATGCGCAAATCATCGCCAAACTTAGCGGTTGACGGAAAATTAGCATGACAGGATGGCGGCAACCTAAGCGCAGAACAATAGCGAACTTACCCCGGATAGCTCTGGTTGAAATGATTGATTTGGGTCAAAAGCTGCCCTCTGAAAAAGGTATAGATTATAATCGTATCAAAGGATAGAGGGAGTGAGAGGAACCATAGCCATTCGCAACTGACTGCAGGTGAGTTTGTAGTAATGCATTCTATAAAATAAATCACCCTCATTAAATAACGAAATACGATGAAGTCAGCTTCACTGATCGCCGCCAAACTCAAAATATACACAAAGGAGTGTTTAGGATCGATGGGGAGTGAGCCTACCGTGAGGCAGGAAAAACGGAGTGAACCTCGATGATCAACACAAAGCACACTACAACTCATTTTTTCATGACACAAACTTGTGTGATGAACAGTAGACGGAATGGACCCTATAGTCACGAAGACCCGTTGTTTTGTGATGGAAACCGGTAAGCTAAGCGTCGGGGCTTGGAGTGGCGAACCACATAAGGCACCAATAGGTTAGGTGTGGTATAAGAACCGGGCTGCCTACCAAAGTTGGGTGGCGGAGATGCGGGCTTGAACCTAGGACAACAGGGTTCAAAGCACGCCAGTGACAGCGTCACTCAGAAGTAACCCTACTTTTGATGTGAATTAATAATCCAGTCTGGCTGGTTCGCGGTAAGTCATCTCGAACCCAATTTGGTGGGAGGCTTTCGATTGAAGTTAACAGACAGCCAACTGTCTACCTTCGATGCTGTGGAGCCAAAAATGAGCTGACTGACTATCAATGAAGACGATAACTGAAAACCCATGAACAGGTGATTTGGTTAATCCTTGATGTGAGCTTGTTGGTACAATGGTAATACGCCTTCAATGCGATGGGTCCAGAATGGTGGATATACACTAAAGATGAGCTTTAATAAATGCGACGCCCGAGTCTAGTATTTCCGAGTGTATGCCTGACTGGATGAACTGAGGATAATACGTGAAAGTGAAGTTTGAAAGATATTCAATGCAAATCAACCGAGGACAAAGTCCAAGTGTGCATGCACACTTGTCCCAGCATTCTGAATTCATTGTGATAATGATTATTTCACTGAGACTCCCGAATACACGACAGCTGATATAATTGCCAGTAACTCATTACACTTTAACTGATCCAACATACAAAGATGTAGACGGTCGAAAACCCCTGGTTTGTGGATGTCTTTCATACGGAAGAGTCTTGCAACAGTAAAGCGTCTATTTAATACCAAGTCATACCACTTGGAGGGTCTTCCAATATTCCGTCCTCGAAATGAACAGGAACGGCGAACAACGGTACACTTGACGAAAACTGCGACTAGTGACGAACGAGCTGATTAGTTTGTCGTAGACCTCAACTCTAACAGAAGAAGGTAAATAAAATGACCTTAATCATTAATAAGTTGGTTAACACAAATCTGGGACATTTCTTAGTGAGGAACCGAAGACAGCCCCATAGACTATTGAATTAAAATCCACTTTTAGATCAAGTACAATTGCGATTGTTGATTGAGAACTTGGTGCGATGCGAAAATTTGATCACTGAAGCTTTAGTTGGAATCCGACCCCGGTCGTTCAAGGATGAATTTCTCTCTTCATAACGTGAAACGGTACAGTAAAACGGATGCCAACACAGCTGTGACGATTGGAATCAGTTTCAGTTTCAGTTTAAACAACCATCAGGCATGCACGATTGGAATCAAAACTATTCCGCAGAGGTTTGCGCCATCTCTAAGAGATTCTTCCTTAAAAATTGGAACAAGTAACGATCTGTTTCAGGATGACTGTGTCTGCGTCCGGAGATTGTGCAGTGAGTCAGTAAAAAATCCTACAAAAGAATAAACCTTGTTCAATGAATAAACCGTCTGGTAAAAAGTGGGGTCACTCGTCAAGTTCGGTTGATTTTCCTTTCTTCGCAATTTGAATGCATACCTGAAAGGCCAACGGGTAGAGACCAGCCAAAGCTCATTCTCACAAAGCCAGCTGATTGGTCACTTTCTGGCTTCCACTTCCGCCCCTGGAGAGGTCACTCCAGCAAAACACACGGTGACGAGCAGTTTATCGGTCGAAAAAAACCCACTAGATGGACGTAGGAGTGGAGTACCTGGGGCTTCCTCTCGACAGTGGGAGGTCTTCGCACTTCATTGGACAGCTATTGCCCGCCTGAGGTGGGCAGCCCCCAACCAATAAAGTGCTGTTCCATCTACGTCTCGCTTGTCCCATTGGGTGCATGAGGCTAAGGGCCGATCTCGAAAAGCGTACCGACAATCAACGTAACACCGAACAACGGAATTAACCGAGACCCGAAAGCCTTGCGTGACAGGTCTCTAGAAGCTCGCACACGGGTGCTTCATTTACGTTCTCGCGTTGGATTTACACCCCACTGCCTTGTGGATCAGACTTTTGAGTCAAGGGTTCCCAAAGAAAAACCACTTGGACAGTGTGGGCTGCCGCGAAGTACGTCGTACCCTAAAGTCTTAGGCACTCATTCGGAAAAACCTCCTTCCCACCTGTCTAGTTCCTCCCTTCAACCCCGAATAATCCCAAACACGTGTTTGCAAGACCCATCGGATATCACTCAGCGTTTTATCAGCAAGGACAAACAATCAGAAGTTATAGGATTTTTGAAGCCAAAATTTCCTTTTCACTTAGCCACGTTCAATGCCCGCA